TATGATTTAACTTTGATAAAAGTTAGAAAATCAGAAAAATATGCTAATTAGTATTATATAATAATCCAGTTAATTTAAATTCAAATTGTTATCATAAAATTATTTATATTAAATTTAGATTAGTTAGTTCCATTTGAAAGATAAAATTCTAAAAAAAAACTGACCAGATATTATTATAAAAGGACTAATAGCTTTATTATTTTGTAAATGATAAATACTATTTATTAAAATCTACATATAATCATTAAAAATCTGATGATCTTATCATATTTAATAAAATAATTTCTAGTTATATTTGATTGAAAAAAAGAGAAATATCAAAAATTTTAAAAGATTTATCTTTTTAGAATTGATTTTCTGTTGTTTAACTATAAAATCAAATATTAAAAAGATTGGATTATGTTATATTTTCTATACTTTTGTAATAATATAATTAAGTGTCTTTATAGTTTTAAAGTAAAAGATAAATTTTTTATTTTTGAATTGATAGTTTAATCTGTAGTAACATTAAAATAAATAAATAATAAGTTATTTTTATTATAATAGAATTTTCTTTATGTTTAAAGCTAAGTATATCACATAAAAATGTATTAGTGTAGTTATAATATTATATAAATGATTTTTTACATTAGTATGATTAAACAAAGCTTTAGCATTTTCAATTTCTTCTGATTAGGTAATTTTTATTTTCTTTTGCTTTTCGTAAGTGGTAATTTTTTATTATTGTTTATTTTGTTAGTATAAATAAATATAAATAAAGTTATTAGAGTGAGAAAAGGTGTATTAGTTTGAGTTGAAATAATATTTGAAGTAGTTGTATTATTAGTTTAATACATAGTATAGGACTATTTACAGTTTAAACGCAGTAACATAAGATATCTGTTTATCTTCTGCTCTTTGTTTGAGTTAATGTTTATTAGCACACATTTGTTTTACTACCAATCTTGAATTATTTTATAAATGGATTAATGTTTCAGACTTATAAACAGTTCCTGTTACCTAGTCTATATCCATTTTAATAGATACAATAGCTGTTGAAATTTTAGTATTTATTATTTGTTAATTATTTGTATTATTTTCTAAAAGAATATATTCTACAATATTATATATGTTAATGGGAGTTTATTTTAAGTTTTCAGAAAATTTTTTTTTTTTTGCTTGTATTTTTATTATTAGTTATAATAATATTCATTTGATTATAACTAGAAGTTATCTAGCAATTTATTAGATTCTTTTATTTGAATTCTTTATTTTTATTAAACATTTGAAAAGTTGAAGGTTTATTTTGTTTGCTCTTATTATTGGCATAATAGTATTCAAGTAATTGCCAGAAAGAGTTTTATGAATTTTTGATTAGTAGATGATAAGATTACTAATTTTTTGAAAAGTTACGATATTTAAATTATAAAATCATGTGATATGACGTAATTTCGACCATTTTAATTTCGATTTCATGTATAATAAGTACTTATATAAAATAACAGAAAAAAAAAAATTACTATTTTGCTGTATTCACTGAAAATTTTTTGTTATGCATGTTTTATCTTTCTAGCATTTTCCTTATGCCCATAATGTTGATTCTTAGTTACACAAACTTAATTAGTATAAAATACTAATTACAAGTAAAGCAATTTTAGGATATAAAAATTTTGAGATTGTTTATATTAGTATAGAAAAAAAAAAAATGTATGGCAGTTCGAGAAATATGGCTTCTACTGCACTCAAACGGTTAATGACCGAATACAGAGGTGACTTGACCAAATAGATTATTAGATTCGTGAAAATAAGTTCTTAAGCCTTTGAATGCTAATAAAGCTTATTTTGTTTTGTCAGAACTAACTTTAAATGCTCCGGAAGGCATTACTGCTGGTAAGATTTACCTCGAAATATTATTTTTTTAAAGGAAAGTATAATAATAAATAATAATTCATATTATTTTATAGGACCAATGTCCGAAGATTTGTTCTTTGAGTGGGAAGCATTAATAGCGTGAGTTTCAAATTTAAATTAAAGTTTCAAGTAATTTTTGATTCCTTTATTAATGATACATACATATACATATATAGAGGACCGGAAGGAACACCGTATGAAGGTGGGATCTTTCCTGCCATACTTAAATTTCCTACAGACTATCCTCTTTCTCCACCAACAATGAAATTTACATGTGATATGTTTCATCCTAATAGTATGTATCTATCAAAGTATTTCCTTATCTTAATTTATTATATAAACTCATTCATTATGTATGATACAGTTTATCCGGATGGAATGGTTTGCATATCAATTCTTCATCCTCCGGGTGATGATCCAAACATGTATGAAAGCAGTTCAGAAAGATGGTCACCTGTTCAAAGTGTTGAAAAGATTTTATTGAGTGTGGTTAGTATGCTGGCCGAACCTAATGATGAAAGTGGTGCTAATATTGAAGCTTGTGTAAGTAATCTATAATTAATATGTAAAATTTTAAGACGGAAATTTGAAGTTTACATTATTATATCTTGTTTCATTTAATAGAAAATTTGGAGAGGGGACCGTGAAGCATTTAATAAGATCGTTAGAGATACCGTTAGAAAAACTCTCGGATTGTAATTATATAATTGTAAAGATTTAAAATAATAAGATTAAAAAGAAATGGTATTGGTTTTTAACTTAAAAAAAAAAAATAAATTATCATTCTCCTTTTTTTTGGTTTTCAATTTCTCTTCTGTTTGCCATAAAATTATTTACTATTTCTTGATACATTTCATCATGTAATCCTTTAACACGTTGATATTGATTATGTACGCGTAATAATTCTGATTGTAATGAAGAAATTTGTGATTCTAAAGTTGATGAATTATCATCAACCTAAAAAAATAAAATAAAAATAAATAAAAAGGTTTCAGTAAATTAATAATTTATTAAACTATTACTTACTTGAAATTGAAGTAATGATTGTTTTGATCTTTGTAAATCATGTAATTCTGGAGATGCGATTTTTTGACCCATACAATTATATTCGAACAATGTCATATCCTACAAAAAATCATTCAAATCATATTAAATTACCTCTCACAATACAATTCATATTAATCATTTAAAAATCTCACCTTTGTATTATCATTCAATATAATATTAATACACTTATCACCATCAAAATTATCTTTATAAGATCGTTGTAACGTATTTCTTTGAAATAATTGTATTGGTTGAATCATAATTTTATTTGATAAATTGCTTGTAGATGAAATTAAATCTGGTGGTTTTAAGAACGTAAATAGATTCGTTATAGGTCCTGTCATTATTTTTTTTTATTTAAATAAAAAATTTTTTTTTAAAATAATTAGCCCGATTAAATTAAGGAAAAATTTTATAAAAGAGAATTACCTTTATGAAGTGAAAATTTTTTTATCATTTGTTTACTTGAAATATCCCATATCATCAATGTTCCATCTTTTGAACCTGCTAATAATAAAGAAGCATCATACGAAAGTGCAAGCGCAGTAATCGCAGAACTTTTCCAACAAACAAGTTGTAAATTAACATATAACAGAATTTAACTAATTAAATTAATCAAATATATACAGTTGATAAAGAACTAACTTATGTCCTTTGAATAAATTTCCTTTCTCATCATCTATAGAAGAAATATCTTCAATCGAACCGGCACCACCAACAGAACTCATTTCCTCACCAAAGGCGTTGTAATTACTACTTTCTCGTCTTCTATATAAATATACTTGATATATTAAATTATTGCTACCACCGCCAAAAAACATCCTTTCGGCAGGATCAACTATTATACATGTTATTGCTGTTGGGAATATAAATGTTGTTAAAAGATATCCTGTCGATAAATCCCATAGCTATTAAAGTTTTTTCTTATTATTAATAAATACAAATGGTATAAATAACGTAAATTTATAATAGTATGGTAGCAAGAAAAACTTACTTTACATGTATGATCTAATGAAGAAGTTACGATTCTGGCCGTGTTAAAACTTCCTATTCCACACCAAATATCAGTTATTGGTAATGAATGTTCTGACCACGTATAAAAAGGTGAAGGTGATTCATCCACAGAATCATCCAATAGGCTAGATAATAACCATACGTTTACACCTGCATCCTCACTACCAGATATCAATGCGGAATCATCACTAGTAAATTTGATTACGCTGATTTTTTTGTAATGTGCATCAAATACTTTACATAATGTTCCTGTGGAAATCTTTTACAATAAAAAAAAGGCACATCCCATTAGTTTTTATCTACATGTTTTAAATTAAAGAAAAATACCCCTTTTAAATTCCCTACCTCCCAAATGTAAATTTTTCCATTATCTGTTCCACCAGCGCAAAAGGCTCCTTTGTTTGATACTGCTAATGCAATTATTTTTTCAGGACTTATAAATTTCAAATGTACTTGATCCTACAAAATCATTTCGTTAATATCACTATTCATTGAATTAACGAGAAAGGGTTCTGTTACTAACCTACCTTTTGAAATGAATATATATGTAATAAGGATTTATCCAATTGGGCAGAAATTATTAAGCCAATTCTATCACATTGCCCGGGATAAGGTATTAATGCTAAAGCATGTTTAAAACAATTATTTTGTTTAAAAGAAGTATATGAGGTACCGGTACGAAAATCTATTAGATTAATAAGAGTATCTGTTGAAGAAGAGCTAAGTGCCACTTCCGATAACATTTTCCCTGAATCTTCGAACATTAGGATTTCCATAATTTTATTGGATGATCGGATCTATGGCTGTTACACCAATAAAATTTTTTTAAAAGAGAAATTTTAAAAAATTGAATTCCTCCTCTCTTTTTTTTAAAAAATTTTTTTCTTACAACTTTTCTTTAAGCATTTCATTTCGAAAATATAAATATATCGGTAAGATTAAACTAATCATCCATTGAAAGATCAATTAAAAGAATTAATTTGTTTGAATTATTTTAATCAGAAAAAAAAAAAAATTTATATATTTGATCTTTGTTTATTTATATAGAAATGGCTAAGGAAAAAAAGACCGCTTCACGTAGTGCAATCGCTGATGTCGTGACGAGGGACTATACCATTCATTTGCATAAAGCCGTCCATGGCCGGTAAAAATTTATCGCAAGAAAATCTTTTGATTCTTTGGTTAAATTTTTTTCTAATTATTATAGCGGTATAATTATATAGGAGTTTTAAGAAACGCGCACCGCACTCGGTTAAAGCAATTCGATCATTCGCTAAAAAACATATGGGAACTAATGACGTTCGTTTAGATCCATTGTTGAATAAAGAAATTTGGAAACAAGGTGTCAGAAGTGTACCTCATCGTATGCGTTTACGTCTTTCTAGACGTAGAAATGATGAAGAGGATGCTAAAGAGAAATTATATACTTACGTCACTTTTGTCCCTGTGGATTCATTTAAAGGTAATTAACTTATTTTTGATCATATTATTATTATTATTTAAAAATATTTAATATTTATCTATTTTTATATTATTACTTAGGATTACAAAATACTGTCGTTGATCAATAATAATAATAAAAAAAAAAATTTTTATTTTTATCTTTTTTTTTTTTTTTTTAAAAAAAAAAAATAAAAGATTAATGTGAAATTAATTTAGCATTTTTATTTTATTGGTAATTTATTAAGTTGTTTTCTTACTATAATTGATATAACCAACGCCAACGCAAGCCATTAATAATGTATTATTCTTTGTGTCAGATTTAATTTTAAAAGTGATGGCAAAAAAATCTCTTAAATCTCTCAAATATTGTATCCTAAAAGAAAGAATTGTCAACAAATAAAATTTATTTAAAGGAATCTTTAAATAGGAAAAAAAAAAAAACTTACGTGAAAGCTGTTAAATTTCCAACACGAACCTTCGATACATCTTCAGGACCGAGTACCATTAATAATAGGGTCAACCATTGATTTAATGAATCCACACAACCACCTTTGCTTAGCTCATTTAATAGTAATTTGGCAGTTTTACTACCGATATCTTCAGGTGTTTCACCGGGCAAAGCAGCCTGTTCGGCAGAATATAAAGCTCCTGTGGTAGATTCAGCTACTAAGCTTAGAGCAAATCCTGGTGATTTACCAGATTCTTCACCTTTATATACGTCGGTATAAATATATACATCGGGTATATATCTGTTCAGCACAGATCTAGCTGAATCAACTAATCTATTGGCATTTTGTGGCGATACTCGAGTGCAACATGCTATACCACGAATACGTTTTATTCGACCCTCGTCTGTAAATTGAATCGGTTTTAACGTTCTTACTAAAGGACATTTAAAGTTAATTTCTCCTCCTCCCAATGGTGCCGATCCACGTTTTGTGATCTAATTATCCAAAAATTCGATCTTAATAAAATAACAATCTTAATTATTCTTATAATTATTTAAACGACTTTACCTTCAACTCGAGTCCTTCTTCGATACCGAATCTTTTAAGTTGTAATAAAGTTACTGTCCTTATGCTGTCCATCTATTCAAAAGTATAAATTAATAAATGGATATTAATATAAAATCACCTCACATAATTCATAATATTTCTACTTACGGATATGTCAACGTTATCATTAGTTATGCCATTGAATGTCAAATCAAATGGTTGTTTACCAAATGGTGCTAATGCAATTAATGGTTCCAAGAAATATCCAATTGCTCGTGATGTACCACAATCATGATAGATTTTTCCTCCTGTTATCACTCCTGGCTTATACAGTATCGTTGTACCTTTTATGGGTGAGAGAAAGGTGTTAAAGTAGAAGAATTGAAGTCTAGCGAAGATATGTATTAATTAATACCAGCGTAATTGATGTCAATGGTTGAACCGTTTGTTACTTTTTCAAGTAATCTTAGAAAACTTGCTTCAAAATCTATTATTAAATCCAACGTAATAAAGTAAATATTACATTCTTTTCTATCTATTCAATTAATTCAATAATTATTATGATATACAGTATACCTCTTAATCCAGGATTATCATTTTCAGATCGGATTTTACCAATTTTAACAATTTTACCACTTAATGTGGCAAGGATAAGTCTTTGTCTTAAATATTCATGTCCTGAAAAACTTAACACTTTACCCGTCGAAGAATTATTATTACTCATTTTTTATAAGGATATGATTTTTTTGTTTTTTTATCAAAAAAAAAAAAAAAAAAAAGGTTTGGAGATTCACAAGTGTGATAAAAAAAATTTTTTTGTTTAATATACGGTATAACAAATTTTTTTTTTTCTCAAATACAGAATTGATAGTAATTATGATAAATTTAACTAATAAAAAAAATTTTAATAATAATTATAGCCTAACAAGGAAAAAGCAAGAAAAAATGCTACTAGTTCTATTACATATTAAGAAAATTTATTAATGCAGATCTCTGTGTCATCTAAACGTTTATAGAAGTATTGCTCATGCTAAAATGACTTAAATAACTTAATTAGTCCGTAACTTTACACGTGATCATATATGATCACGTGGCGATGTCTCATTTGCTTATAAAAACCCCGTTTCTTTGAATTTGACGCGTCCAATATAAGTTTTAATTCTACTCAATAATAATATACATAATAACATTCCTTCCTTTATAATTCATAATGACTTCACTTTCTCACACTAGAGTTTCTATTGACAAAGCTCAAAATGGGTCTGTTATACCAAAGACTCCAAGTTCCTTGGATAGAACTATGCAAGATGTACCTAAACAACGGCTTGTTATCAGTAAAATATCCTTAAATAATTTTAAGTCGTATTTTGGCAAACAGGAAATAGGTCCATTTCACAAGGTATAATATATGTTTTTTTTGAGCTTTGCTGCGTCACGAGATTCTCTCTAATCATTAAATTTAATCTCAAGTCATTTTCTGCTGTCGTCGGATCAAATGGTTCGGGAAAATCAAATGTTATCGATGCTCTTTTATTTGTATTTGGTTATCGAGCAAATAAAATGAGGCAAGCCAAATTATCAGAACTTATTCATTCATCGCAAGGATGTGAAAATCTGGATGCTTGCAGTGTTGATGTATATTTTGAAGAAATTCTTGACTTGGTAAGAAACAAAATAATTTCCGAAAGTAATAAAAAAATTCATAAAATTAATAATACATGATGATGTTCAATAATTTTATAGCCTGGTTCGGATAATTATGAGGTTCTACCTCAATCTCAATTGGTTATCTCGCGTCAAGCTTTTCGCAATAATGCAAGCAAATATTTCATAAATGGACGACAAAGCAATTACACTGAAGTTACGAGTCTTTTGAAAGAAAGGGGGATCGATTTGGATCATAAACGATTTCTAATTTTGCAGGTTCCTTTTTTATTTATTTATTTATTTTTATGTTTTTCATCATGAAGTAATGATTAATGTATTGTCATCATCAAAATTTATGCTTATATTAATGATTAGGGAGAAGTTGAATTAATATCACAGATGAAACCCAAAGCATCAAATGAGCATGAAGATGGACTTTTAGAATATATTGAAGACATTATTGGAACTTCTAAATATAAAGTCCCTCTTGAAGAAGCAAATGAAAAAGGTGAAACATTGGATGAAGAACGATCAGAAAAATTAAATCGTGTTAAAATAGTTGAAAGGGAGAAACAAAGTTTAGAGGTAACATATTATTAGCAAATCACGTTTGTAATCATATTAAATAACAATAATGATTTAACCTTATTGAATTGAAAGGCCAAGAAAAAAGAAGCGGAAGATTATCTCCGAGATGAAAACGCGTTAACTTTGAAACAGTCCACCCTTTATCAAAAAAATTTTCTAGAGTGTAAGATTAATTCTGAAATATCAACTAAGACTGTGGTAAGTCATTAGATTTAATAACTTATTCAGACAAGTTATTTTAATATTGTAATTAATTTTTTATTAATTCTTAGAATAAATTAAAAGATCAACTGAGAGAAGAAGAAGAAAAGCATGTTCAGATAAAACAAGATAACAAAGATCTTGAAGATAAATACAGAGATTCTGTTAATGCCTTTCAGGTAAAATAATTATAATAATTTATAAATAAATAAACTTTCATTAATTTAATAATTGTGTTTATTTAATAAGCAACTTGAAAAAGAAACAAATGAAATTCTAGTAGAATTGGCAAATTATGAGAAAGAAGATATTAATCTGGAAGAAAGAAAGAAACATGCAATTTCTAAACAGAAGAAAGTGACAATGACAATTTCTACAGTAGGTTTTATTTGTTTATGTTATTTTGATGCACA